CCCAAGTGAAAACTTGAAGTTTTTCATCTTTGAATGTGAAGTTAGCTGTGGATTTTTTACATATGCCCTTTATCGCATTAAGGAAGTTCCCTTCCAGTTTTTAGTTTACTACATGTTTTTATGAAAGAGTATTAAATTTTGTCAAACTTTTTTTCCTGCATCTATATTGTTGATTGGGTGATGTCTGTTAATATTGTGTAATATGTTGAATTTTATGCTTTCATTCTTAAAATCCCAATTAGTCACAGTCTATAACCCTTTTAATATACTCTTGTACTGTTGATTTCAGCTTGCTATTATTTGTTGAGGATTTTTGTGTGTATTTGTAAGAGATGTTGACCTTTTAGTTTTCTTACAGTGTCTTTGTCTGATTTTGGTATCAAGGTACTTACTGGTGGCCTTTGAATCATGTTGTGTTCTTTTCTATTGTTTGGAGAAGTTTGAGTAGGATTGATAATAATTCTTCTTTAAATATGTGGTAGAATTGACCAGTAAAGCCATCTGGTCCTGGACTGTTTTTTGTTTTTTAAGATTTATTTATTTATGCATACAGAACTGGGATACAGACAGAGAGATACAGGGGCAGTGAGAGGATTCGCCAGAGACAGAGTAGGGAGCTGGTCTGTGAAGTACACTGCTGAGGGGAGCAGCAGGCGAGACAGGAAAGGTCTGCCACACCATGTGGGTCACCTCTAAGGGCAGAGATCAAACTCACACTGAAGCAACTGCGGCTCACTTGCAGTGCTGGATCTTAACCTGTTGCACCACCAGGGAGGGCCTCTGCTGAGATTTTCTATTTCCTCTTGAGTCAGTTTTGTTACTTGTATGTTTTTATGACTTTTTTCATTTCCCTTAGATTATCTGATGTGTTTGCCTTTGTCAGTATTCTCTTATAAACCTTATAATTAATCCTCTTGCTTTCATTTCTGATTTTATTACTTGTATCTTCTTACCTTTTCCCATAGTCACTCTACCTAAAGGTTTGTCAGTTTTGTTGATCTTTTCAAAGAACACTTGGGGTTTTGTGGATTCTATTTTTTCTTCTCTGTGTTTATCTCTGCTGTAATGGTGTATCTTCCTTTTGCTGGATTTGGGTTAATTTACTCTTACAAGTTTGTTAAGGTGTAGAGTTGATTTAAGGTTTGTTGTTTTGTTTTTTAATAAAGTTAACAGCTATAAATTTCCCTCTTGAATATGGCATTCTTTGCATTCTATGGTTTTGGCATCTTCTGTTTTCTGTTTCATTTTTCTTAATTCCCTTAGTGAGTTCTCTTTAGTTTTCTGGTTTTTGGGTTTGGCTTTATTTTGTTTTGTTTCTTTGGAGCCATTAGTTGTTTGAGTAGTTTGTAATTTCAGCATAGTTCAGAATTTTCCGGTTTCCCTTCTGTTACTTATCGTTTCATTCCATTGTGGTTGAAGAAGCTATTTTGTGACATTTGACCATTGTCTATATATTGAGAGTGGTCTTTGATTTAACATGTGGTTTATCCTGAAGAATGTTTCATATACAACCAAAATTATGTATGCTCTCCCACTATTGAGAAGGAAAAGAGAATTCTCTCTCTTATAAATGCCTTTACTGACTCTACCCTTTTCTGCCCATTAGTACTGAAACCATAGTACTGAAACCATAACGAGGCTCTGCTGGCTCCACAGTGAATTACTGGGCAAGCCAACCAAAGACAAGCACCTAGTGCTGGGAAATTGCACCAGAAACACTGGCTACTGTTCACCAAGATGAGACTTGATGTTTGGTAACAACCAGCCGTTATGCAATATGCCAGATTTTACCTACCTCTGTTCTTATTTCATATACTCATGGATGCTATGATTATTTAACTAACTGCATAGTTTGAAAATGGTTTCTCCAGACATTACTTATCAGCTGAATAGAGTTTCTCAACAGAGACTGATTCCTAAATCTAACTAGTCAACCATCTTCCATGTCACTCACACCTGCGTTTTTATTTTGTATAATTGTGATCTTTTGAAAATAATAGTTTTATAACTTGTCATGTAATGACATGTTTAATGTTCCTGTATATCTAATTTCTTTACTACTGAAACTATTTTGTAAATATGACCTATTTAGGGAAAGGGTGGCCAGAGTTGTAAAATTTTAAGAAAGTGCATTGAATAAGGCATGTTATTTCAGTGAGCTTGAGTCTCTTTAAGACTGACCCCTTTCTTTAAGATTGATTTATTTATGCATACAGAACTGGGGTGTGGGCGGGAAGTGCAGGGGCCATGAGGATTTACTAGAGAGAGTGGGAAGCAAAACAGGCAGATCCACTAAGTGCATTGCTGAGGCGAGCAGTGAGCAAGAAAGGAGAAGTCTGCTGCCCCATATGGGTCAGCAGTGCTGCACTTTAACTAAACCATTGTGCCACCAGGAGGGCACACAACAGGTTTTTGTTTTGTTTTTTAATTGAAGTTATAGCATGACAAAGTTGCTGTTACAGTGATACCTAATGAAAAAATTGAAGGTAGCTTGGTAGCATACAGGGAAGAGTGAAGCTGCTGTTGAACACAGAGTGCTGTCTGCTTCAAGGAGAGCTGTGCAGTAAGCACTTGGGAGACTGAGCATGTAGCCAGATTGAACCCTCAGAAGACTGGGAGCGAGTATCGTATGCTATTCCATCGTGGCTTTTTGTGTTTAGCTGTTGTTACCTGCAAGTGCGGCTGGTTCATTGGGATGAACCAGCGTGATTGCTGATAGCACTGACATAATTGCCTTACTTACTCGTTGCACTTGAACTAATTCATGGTTTAAAATGTGTTATAGCAGAACAGTACGGGTAATTTGCAACTTTTTGTGCTTGTCATATCTCCTGCCTTTATCCCCTGAATATCTGGGGTTCACTTCCCATTCTGTTATCTTTGAACAATGTATGCCCTTCTGAACTCTCTTCTAATTAATTTGTTGATAACATTAAATTTGATTAGATCTGTTTTTAGGGCCTGCTTCTCAAACTTGGTGTGTGTGGCAGTCTCTGCTTCCATGGTCTGTTTTCACTTTGCCTCTTTTGCATATGACAGGTTTTCTTCACACCGTATTTTAAAATGTACAAGTTTTAGAATAAACTGTCTTGTTGGTCACTTCAAGATCTCAACTAACAAAAATGTAAGCCCATGTGTATTAATAACATTAATATTTTATCAAGTGCCTTCCCACTATGAAAGGTGAAAATATTAGTTGTTTTCCACTCTCCGCCCATTGTTCATCTCCCAGTTTTGTTAGACTACTAGGTGATAAATTGTCCTGATTCATTTTGTCACGTTTTATAACCTTGTAACCCCTCCCCAGGACTTTTTTTTTTTTTTTGCATTGTTCTGAGACCAGAATAAATTATTCTATATATTTATGTGGGTAAATGAATTTACTGTCTTTTTTTGCTACTAGGTTCTTTATTTCAATAAAGCAGAGGATAAGAAATTTTCTGAAAAGTACAATGATACCTTCTATTCCATTTTAGTTCTTTAGTCAGATTTTTTTTTCTGTTGCTTATTCAGAGACAAGTTAGTTGTTAGATTTATATTTGCATTATTTTTCTTTATATCTGTTTGCTTTCTCTCAGATTTTTCTCTGTATTAATAACTTGTGTAACTGCTGTTTGCTGCTGATGTATTTATTTAGCCAGTTATGCTCTTGCTTACCTTGTATATTTTTCCTCTTCCTCTTTTTAACATATGGGTATAGTTTGAATGGTTTTGTTAGACCTTGAAAATCCTCATGAGGCTTCTCTATGGCTTTGTCAGAGGGTCCTTGACACCACCACCGCTTCTGTCAGGACGAGTGAATCTGTGCCTTTGGAGCCCTGTCACTGTGTACTTCCGACGGTCCTGAGGGTACTAGTGGGACTGTCTGATTTGTACTCGTCTTACTCTGTTTCTCTAATGCCATCCTTCCTTTTGAATAAGGACAAAATGTAGAACCTTGTCCTTTACTCCTGCCCCGTTAAGTACTGTTTGATCACTAAGAGAAGAGCTTCGAAACTGAGAATTTCACATTTTTTTCCCCTTACCACATCTGTGTTCCTAGTCAAGTTAAGGAGGCGCCTGTGAAAAATTTTCAGAATTGATGTTTAGATTCTGGAATTGGTCTTCCAGTTTGGACTGACACTCAATATCTGAACACTATTTTCTAATAAAATTTCATGGTATGTGTTGGAAACCTTTTTCATCTAAAAGAACATGTTCAATCTAATGGCAGATCTACTGCAGAAGACATACATTCATTAACTTTGCGCATTATGTTAGTGGATCTACTTCTTCTAGGACACCCTTCTAATGAGTAATAATTGATATTTCAGACTTTTTATTTAGAACTTCTATATAGATATGGGTATTTTTAGAAGTCTCCTGAGCCAGTGAACCTAAGCTTCAGCAACTGGGGGCTAGTTTGAAATGCAGATTTCTAGACCCCCCCGAAATTTTTAGGCAGTTTACCTGATGTAGGTGGCCCAAAGTTTAACTCTGAATGTTATTTTTAAGTGTTAAGATAATCATGTTTAATTTGAAGTAGCTATTCTAGGTAGTAACTATGGCATTCATTGCTGCCCCACAGGACTGAGTCACTGCTAGCTGGTTGGCTTGTTTCTAAAGGACTTGTTACTCCCTAAGATAGATACTGCTTGCCTTCATTGTCACCTCTTAATCCCAAAGCGTAATTTTCCAGCTGGGAGAATGTTTACATAAGATAATATCACATAGGTTGGCATTTTTTAGTATTGGTGAATGAGGACATCAAAAATAAATCAGTGATGAAAGAAAGGACATTTTTAACACCTCTTTCCACAACCACCAAATACATAAACAAAAATAGGAACTTACCCTCATTGTATAGATTCAAATGTGTAATTCATTATAGGCAAAACTCATTATCATCATTTTTTAAAAAACTATTCAGATACAGATTAATGCATACTTTCTCACGGATGACATGGAAGGATGCTCCTTAGTGCTTGGAACAGAACACTTGCAAGAGGCACTGCCTAAATATGATACAGTCTTCTATTTTCTCACCAGTGCGGTCCTTTGGTACAGAAGACAGACCAACAGATCGTCCAATACCACCTCGAGATGAAGTCTTTGAATACATTATATTCCGTGGAAGCGATATTAAAGATCTCACTGTTTGTGAGCCACCAAAACCACAATGTTCTTTGCCTCAGGATCCAGCCATTGTTCAGGTAACTGACAGGGAATTTGACCTGAAACAAGAATAAACTTCATATTCTTGGCTAGCCTTGGCTTCTGGGGTTTTGTTTTTATTTTCAAAGTTGAAAATTCATCAAACTTTACTTCCTAGTTACCAGGATATCTAGATAACATTTTCATTTAGCTGTTTTCTCTTTTTTCATTTTCTTCTTTGTGGGGTTTTCTCTTTAGGTCATAAGTCAAAAGTAAATAAGGTATAGGATAGCTGAGGAATTTATTTTATCATAAAATATTATCTTTCAAAAACAATTTAAATAACATTTATTGAGTTCTAAAAAGCACTATATAATAAATCAATTTTCACATAGTCTCCAAACTTGGTATCATAATTATTCTCATTTTCATAAGTGAAGAAATTGAACTAGAACCACAATTTGAACAGACCCAGGCTGTCTGCCTCCAGAATCCATGCACTGTATTACTCATATGTGGTTCACATTACAAACAAGAATGATAGTGATTTCTGTTAATATTGGATTTGATTTTTTCAAAGCTAAATCATACACACACACACATATACACACACACACAATGTTATATAAGATATCACACACATCAAAGGATTTAACAGAAATAATGTTCAGTTTCCTAAATCAGGTATTAAAAAATATCATACATATTCTCACTGACACATTAAAGAAATTACTGTATTTTATTGAAAATAGAAATAATCGATGTCTACAAGTTGAATTGTGAATGGTCTATTATGGTGTATGTTTACTTGTTCGTTGGAAGCATATTGAAAATAGGAATTTCGGGCCCTCCCTCGTGGTGCAACAGGTTAAGATGCAGCACTGCAAAGCTAGCCACAGCCGCCTCAGTGCGAGTTCGATCCCCCACCCCAGAGGTGACCCACATGGGGCAGCAGACCTCTTCTGTCTCACCCACTGCTCCTCTCAGCAGTGTATTTCATTGATCCGCTTGTTCTGCTCCCCATTCTGTCTCTGCCACCACCCCTGCACCTTTGGCCTGTACCGCAGTTCTGTATGTATAAATAAGTAAGTTGTTTTTTGGTTTTTTTTTTTTTTAATCTGAATTTTGGCTATCACAGCTGAAGAAACAGGTTCATATACAGGTTATTTGAAGTTTAGATGATTAAAAGCTTGTGAGCCCCACAGTTTTCCTCCTAAATTCATTTCTTCTCAACTTTTTTTCTCGTTAGAAATATCTTCTCATTGCTCAAGTATACTTGTTGGCTATTTTGTTTTTTATTTAAGCAGTGTAATACTTTTTTTTTTTTAAGCAGTGTAATACTTTTTTAAAGAAATATTTCATTTATGCATACAAGAACTGGAGTGCAGACTGGAGGTACAGGGGATGAGAAGATTCACCAGAGACAGAGTGGAGAGCAGAATAGGCGGATTCACAGAAATACACTGTTCGGAGGAGCAGCAGGTGAGATAGGAGAAGTCTGTCAGCTTCCCGGCCAGGTTTGGACTCAGGCCGCAGGAGTGATAGCGCTGAGATTTAATCCCTAGGCCACCACGGATGCCCCAGTGTAATATTTTTGAGTGTTTTCAATTAATTTTCTCCTTTTAATGCTGTGAGTCATAAAATCTTGTTTACACAAAATAGAGTCCCAAAATATATATTATCTTGCATAGGATTTGTCTTCCAGCTGTTTAAAAAAAGTCTCATGAACTTGTCTAAAGAAAAATTGTATATAAAATTAAAATAGGAAGGGCCTCCCACATGGCACAAGGGGTTAAGTCTATCCACAGCCACTGCAGCATGAGTCTGATCCCCGCAGCCAGGGAGCTGACCCACATGGCACAGCAGACTCTCCTGTCTCACCCTGCTCCCCTCAGCAGTGTAATTCAGTAGATCTGCCTGATCTGCTCCTCACCCTATGTCTGGTGAATCTTCTCACCCCGCCTCACCTCTGGCTACACTCCAGTTTTTGTATGCATAAATAAACATAAATAAAGCTTTTTTTTTTTTTTTAAAAAAAAAACAGGAACAGAGAAAATGCTTTTTAACATGTCTCTCCTTCTGAATAAAAGATAAACTTACAACTCAGAATGGTAAAATGATTCAGAGAACTAGTTACTTAAGTAATCATCTTTATAGGAAAAGAAAAACCAAGAGCACAAATAAAAATGGTGTCATAGAACTTCTTCCAGTTACCATGATTTGAACTCTTTGACCCTTTACCTCATTCCCTCAGTAGGGCAGTGAGTAGGTGCCAGGTGCCTGGCACTAGCTGAGTACTCACAAAGTCCTGTCCTTGGTGGCCTTAGCACACTTCTTATTTATAATAGGGAACATTTCATGGTTAAACATGAAAGATGTATACATGGCTTAGTAAGTTAAAATTTTTATAAATGTCCTTTAACTTAGTAATGAAAATGTAAATGGTTTTGTGTATGATGTTTGCTTCTGAGTTTCCTTCTTGTAAGTTTAATGGCATACACAAATGATGAGGCATAAGAGCAAAGTAAAAAATGAGATGTCGCAGTTGTGTCCAGCACAACAATTCATTCCAACCAAATGTCCTATTCTTGCATTTTTTCTTTAAGCAGTTACAAGTAACTTCTTTCATAAATCTACTATAAAACTCTTAACTCGAAGGAGAATTTACTGTTGAAAAGTTACCTGTATTGCACTTTGAGCACAGTTGGCACATGCATTCAAGCATAGAAGTCAGCAGGTTGTCCAACTGTTCGAGTCCGTATTCTGAGTTGTTACAGTTGGTCTGCGTGCCCAGTAGCTGCAATTCAGTAGACTAGTTAGGTGTTTAAATGTCTGAATCTCTGTCCACAATAGATGTTTTGTTTCAAACCCGGGACAATAACGCACGCCCTTTCTTCAGTCCTCTCTAGGCGCATCTACGTCTCCATTCCAGTCGGTGAGCTCCTACGGGCCTTTTGGCAGGATGCCATCGTACAGTCAGTTCAGTCCAAGCTCATTAGTTGGGCAGCAGTTTGGTGCTGTTGGCGTTGGTATGTTGGGCTTTTTTCTTTCTCTCTTTACCACAGAGGTATTTTAAAACACAAACTTTCAGACCTACTGTTTAATGTTCCTTTTGTAACATAAAATATTTAAAGTTTGAAATGACAGTAATGATTCTGTGAAGGTCATCTCTTAGCATAGTCACTTTTTTTAAAAAAAGACTGGATATATCATACCAAATTTCACTGGGTGTTATTTTAAATTTGCATAAGATATACTCATTTAAAATTAGCATTTTCTCCACAGAGAATCGGTTTTGGTGTCAATGAATATTATTATTATATGAAATCTGAAACATCTCATTTAGTATCACCTGTGAGAGAGACTCACATATAACACATTGGTGCTTTTAACAGAATTTTAAATGCGTAACAATGGAAGGAGACTATACAGGGGAAATGGACTAGAATCAGTTCCTTTATGATTGAATGATCCTAGCAAAGGCTGAGTGTAATCAGATGAACTTATGTTATTTTGTTTTCATAGCTGTGAATTTTAGCTCTTCAGTACATCTTTATTGAAAGTCCCATAGTAAAGAATAACTTTTTGAATCTCAAAACTCTGGCCCATAGTCTTTTCTGGTTCCATTGAAATAATCTTTCATCAGCTTATTTTCTTTCACTGAATCACAAATCCACTGGTATGGTAATAAATTTTGTTAAAATTAATTCTCTCTGTGTATACTTTTAAATGTAGCTTTGATTTTTCAGTAATGTGTTTTACTTATTCACAAAATAAAGGAAGGCAAGTAAAGCAAATCTGTAAGCGAATAACACAGACAGAAAACAGACAGCTGGTGCTGTGTATCAAATTGATAGCCACACAGGAAAATGGAGCCAGTTCAAGTAACTCTTCTACTCTTGGTGTAGGATATATTGTTAAGAACAAACAGAACTGTAAAGACAGCCTGATTTAGGACTTGTAGTATTACTGCTTTTGCCAATTTTAAAACTTCTGTAGGGCAAATAAGTGATATATTGGTGTTGCAAAATGATTCTTTTAGTGCTGAGAAGGGAGCTAGGCAGGTGGAACAGGAGAAGGTAAAGGGGAGCCTGATAGTGTTTGGTGCAAATTGGGCTTTAGAGACGAACTCATTTCTTAAATCTGGTTCTTTTCTGATATAAATCTAATCTGATTTTCTGACCCCTAAAAGCAGTGATACCCAGTAGCAAAGAACACATAGACCTAGTTCTCGATGTCTAAGTGCTGTTCCCACTGATAGGAGCCAGAGCTCCTTATATAAGAGCAGGGAAGCGGTACCCATACAAAGATGCGCCGTTATGCAATCTCTAGTGTAATATTGGGATTATCAGCAGATGCTATAATCATTGGCCGAATAATGTTGGAATAGAATAGTAAGATGGTTTTTAAATATCCAACAATTCATTATGAAGGGAGAGATTATGCTTTTATAATGGTGAGTCCTGATAGTCTCTCTTGTTCAAGTCAGCCTTAAGCTAGCCATAATTAAATTACTGTATGTCCTGGCATTATGTTGCCAGGGTTGGTTAGGGGAGAGGCATATACAGCTTTACCTCTGTGGTGGTCTTCCTGAAAATGCAGGCTTTAGTCATGAAGAACTGTTCATAATAGAGCCTATATATTGGAAACTACAAGACATTAATGAAAAATTGAAAAAGACAAATAAATGGAAAGACCTTCTAGACTCACAGCTTGGAAGAATTAATATTATTTAAAAAGTCAGTACTGGGGCTTCCCTGGTGGTACAAAGGGTTAAGACGCAGCACCATGAAGCTGTCTGTAGTCACTGCAGCAAGACTGATCCCCAGCCCGGGAGCTGACCCACATGGCGCAGAAGACGTCTCCTATCTTCCCACTGGTCCCCTCAGTAGTGTATTTCAGTCAGTCTGCCTGTTCTGCTCCCCTCTCTGGCCCCGTTGAATCCCTTCACCCCTACCCCCCACACCTCTAACCTACACTGCAGCTCTTGTATGCATAAATAAATAAAACTTTTTTTTTTAATGGGTAGAAAAGGCCCTCCCTGGTGGCGCAGCAGGTTAAAGCACAGAACTGAGAAGCTAAAGCCACTTCAGGATGAGTTCGATCCCTGCCCCGGAGGTGACAACAGGGCGCGGCAGACCCATCCTGCCCCGCCTGCTGCTCCCCTCAGCAGTGTACTTAACTTCGTGGATCTGCCTATTCTGCTCTCCACCCTGTCTCTGGTGAATCCTCTCACCACTCCTGCACCTCTGGCCTGTACCCCATAAATAAATAAATCTTTTTAAAAAGGATTTTTTCTATCGTTAATCAAGAAAATGAAAGAAAGAAAAAACACAACAGGAGATGGCACCTGACATCTGTTAGAATATTTATTATTGAACATGTAAATAACAAATGTTGACGAGGATGTGAAGAAAAGGAAACCCTTGTCTTCTTTTAATAGAATATTATGGTCTAGCCACTGTGGAAAATAATATAAAGGTTCTTCAAAAACTTTGATAAAGCAGTACCATATGATCCAGAAATCCAATTCTGGGTATTTATCCAAGGAAACAAACACAAAATTGAAAAAATATCTATTTCCCCCCCATGTTCGATGCAGCATTATTTACAGTAGCCAAGATAAAGAAGCTACCTAAGAATCTATTTATGAATGAATGCATAAAATTGTGGTGTAAATATATATGATGGAATTTTATCTCAGCTGTAAAAAAGAATGAAATCTTGCCACATGTGACTACATGGATGTGAAATAAATCAGAGGAAACAGCTACTGTATAAGCTCTCTTAAATGTGGAATTTTAAGTATGTTTATTTTTTTTAAAAGCTCTTTTACATTTACTTAACAGACAACAAATAACTGCTGTGTTCCCAATAGACTATACCACATAGTGTAGGTGTATCGTCAGCCAGACCATCTAGGATGTTTAATTACACAATGGCGTCTAAACAACAGTGAAATCACCTAGCAACAATGCATTTCTCAGACTGTATCCCTATTGTCAGGCAGTACATGGCTGTACAGATAACAAATTGTGGTTATCAGAGATAGGGAGTAGGAGAGAGATGGGTGGATTTTTTTGTTTGTTTGTTTGTTTGTTTTTTTTAATGAAAAAACAATAGTAAGATGTTAGCATTTTCTAAGAAGATGAGTATATGCTGGTATTCAGGGTATGCTTTCACTTTTGACATAGGTTTGACTTTCAAAATTAAATTTAAACACTTGACTCATTTTCGATTTTTTAGCTAAGTGAAATAGATATTGTAGCTTTGGTTCATATACCTCCTGCTCCTGTTCAACTTGTGAGACCAGTGTTTGTTAGACAGATTAAACAAGATGTAGTCTATGGTAGCTATCACTGTTAGAATCTTGAGGATTGAAATAAGGGATGGTTGCAAATATATAATTTCCTTTTGAGACCTTCTAGGAAGTCAGTTAACTATTATTGTACTCACTTCCTACATTACTATAAAGTTTGCATGGCTTAATTTTGTATAAAGCATTTGAATTAACACATACTGCAACAGCTAGATTCTATTTGGAAAAAATTAATCTTGCACCTTGCTTCACACCATCCACATAAACTGATTTCAGATAAATCCATGGTGGAATTGGAATGGAGGAATTAGGGATGATATGATCATGAATTCAAGAGAAGATTTGGGGGATATAAGAGTTTGCTAACTAGAAGCAGTCAGTGAGCAGTGGAGTCAGGCGAGCTAACAACAGCAGTGTGGAGGTAGGAATCCATGGCAGAGTAACTTATGTCCTGGTCATCTGCCAGTATCACGAATAATAGGGCTAATGCAGTAGATACAACTTCCCACTGAATTACTGAGAGCACTGCTCCCAACATTGCTGGGAATGTTGTCGGAGGTCGTGTTAAGCCTCCAGGGCTGGCTGGGGCTGCCGCCTGAGTAGGTTGCACGGCTGAAGGGTCCCAGGCACTGTACTGTGTGCTGATGCCCTTTGAAGAGGAGTCAAAAGTGGGAGTGGGGTTAAAGACGCATACATACAGGTGAATGCTGCTTGATGGAACTGAAGTAGCCTAGCCTGGAAATGCGAAAATGTGAGAAATGCGATTCTAACCTTGAGGTATTTAAGATGGCTAAACTGCTATGAGATGAAGTAACTGGTGGAAGCAGGGAAAGTAATAAGAGGTAAGCAGATAAGCAGAAACCTTTAAAACTGAGGTGTAAGTGGTTTGAACCTTCATCTTGAGGGTTGTGGAAAACCATGAGAGGTTCCTAAGCACTGTAATAATGGGGTAATATTTTTCATAAAAGATTCTTCTGGCCCTCCCTGGTGGCGCAGCGGGTTAAAGCACAGCACTGAGAATCTGAAGCCACTTCCGCATGAGTTCGATTCCCGCCTGCCGCCTGCCCCGGAGGAGACCACATGGCGAGCCAGACCTCTCCTTACCTGCCCGCTGCTTCCCTCAGCAGTGTACTTCGTAGATCTGCCTGTTCTGCTCCCCACTCTGTCTCTGGTGAAGCCTCTCACCGCCCCTGAGTCTCTGGCCTGTACCCCAGTTCTGTATGCACAAATAAATAAATAAATCTTTAAAAAAAAAAAAAGATTCTTCTACCATCTTTAGATTGGATTTTAAAGTTAGGAAAGGACTATTAAAATTGGGCCTGCTAGAGAAAACATTAAGAATAAAGCACAGCTTGACCCTCCCTGGTGGCACAGCAGGTTAAAAGCGCAGCACTGCAAGCTGGCAGCAGCAGCTTCAGTGCCAGTTCCATCCCCGCCCCAGAGGTGACCCACATGGTGCGGCAGACCTCTCCTGTCACGCCTCCTGTCTCCCCGCTGCTCCCCTTAGCAGTGTATTTGCCTGTTCTGTTCCCCACTCTTTGATGAAGCCTCTCACTGCCCCTGCACCTCTGGCCTGTACCCCAGTTCTGTATGCACAAATAAATAAATCTTTTTTAAAAAAATAAATAAAGCACGGCCTGTGAAAAGGAAATATCCCATAAGTACTACAAAAACTTAAGAGAAGATTGACATAAAATCAATCCTTTTCTAGTTGTGTTACTTGTATGTCCAGGAGATTTTGTGGTTGCTTTAGGCAAAATAAAGAGATAAAGGTTTTGGGAGGGAGGTTTTTTGGTTTGGGTTGCTTTTTTTTTAATTGTCATTAAAAATCTCTTAAAGCTGGAAGCTCCTTGACATCATTTGGAGCAGAAACCTCGAGCAGTGGCCCCCTGTCCCAAAGTAGTGCAGTTGGTTCTGCCTTTACACAAGATACAAGGCCTCTGAAAACACAACCATCCCAAGGTAAGCTGGTTTCTTTTCCTTTAAATATTTCCATTCTGATTATCTACAGTGGTTTTGTCTTTTTCTGAACAGAAGACCTTTTGCAGATCATAAGTCATATGTTTGTATTTGGTTCTTTTGAAAATTTTTTTCTAATTGCTACTGTAGTAAGTATATTATTGAGTAACTGTCACTAATTAGACATTTTACAATTCTTAGATCACAAGTCCGAAATGCTGGACATCTCTAAGTTGACTTTTCTTGCAAGGCCATTTATATAATTTGATATAATACTTAAAATATATGAAATCATTCCCAGACTTGCCACTGAGGATGAACTGTTCATAGTGAATTTGAAATAAACTGAAAAAAAAAAACAAACTATCCTTGATGCGGTTACTTCTCTAGCATCCTCACAGAATCTAGAGCACGGTTCTCAGTGTGAACCTCCCACAAACAAACCATCTGGAAAGTTTCTTAAAAATGTAAATCCTGAAAACTGCTATACGAGAATCCTGGAGCTTAGTGATCTGTCTGCTTCATAATAAGCCTTGTGAAGGAGCCTGTTTCATTTTTATAATTCTGTTTTTCCGCCAGCCAGTCTCATGACCTCCAGTGATTCTAAGATCCATTTTTGTCCAAAGTAAAGTGGATGTTATTGACGCCTTGCTTTTATATGGACATTTGCTTTTTAAGTGAAAAATAAAATCATTTTTGAAAGATGTTATAACTACAGGACAGTATTTTTTAAATAGTTGAGGATAAAAGCAAGTCAATACTAAGCAATCTATATGCTCACTTTAGGTATTTTAAAATAGTTATAGCTACTGTTTTTATATTAATTTCAATTACTGGCTTTAGTTTTTTTTTTTTTTTTAAGAATTCTTTATAGATGTCTTACTCTTTAGGCATTAGTTTTAGTTACTTTAGTTTAAAACTAGTTTAAAAATCAGACTGCTGATGACTAGCAGACTTAATTTTGGAGATTTAAATTTTTTTAAATGTTTGCATTGCCCTCAGTACAGTGCCTGACACATAGAACATGCTCAGTAAATGTTAGCTATCTTTACAGGAACCAACATTAACCTTAATATTGAAGTGCAGTGGGGAATTTTTATTAAAATCATAAGTAAGAGCACATGTTAGCTAAGTCAGGACATGTGAAAGGAAATGAGGTAAATAAGTAGCCTTATTTACCAATTCTGTGATTTTCTACTCGGAACTAAGATCACTGAAAAAAAACTAGAATTAATGAGGGACCTAAAATGTAAAGAAAATTTACAAAAATAAATTTTTTATCTAACACTTAACCCACTGGTTATGTAAAGGGAATAAAAGATGTTACCACAATACCAGTCAGAAATGATGTATAAAGTATGTAAAGAGAATTACGTCCAAACTGATGGAAATCCAGAGTGCCAGGGAGCGTGAAAGAAGTCACGTGTGTTAGGAGCCGTCTTACTCCCGAGCACAAGTGATGGTACTGAGAAGATTTTACTTTCATTTTAACTGTTTCTACTATACTCTCAATAATGGAATAGTAGAATTTGATGAAACAGAATCACAGATTGTTTCTTAAACAATTAGTTAAACATATTGGAAAAATAAAATAAGATAGAACTTATCTACTTTTGATAAGTAGTTTCTATAAAATGCAGTATTGCAGGAATAAGTTTAGATGAATAGAACAAGCCAGAAACAGACCCAAGGATAAATTATTTAGTATATGATAAAAGGTATTTTTTAATTAGTAAAGAAAGACTGTGCAGTAAATAATATTGGAACAGACAGCTGCCCCATCATTTGGGGACAATCAATTAGATTTTGTTCCTCAACTCAAGGCTAAAGTAAACTTTAAACAGATTTTTTTTTTAAGTACATATTACTAGAAAACGGGTTTGTAAGGCGGTGACAGAAAGGGCCTGGGAATATGCATGTAGATTTCACAGTTAAAATTTGTGTTTTATACAATTAAAGTATGTCGATTATTTAGATAAAAATTTGAAGGTGATTCAAGGAGATGTGTTTTTATTGCACTGAACTATGTTGGTTTTTCCTAATAGATGTGTTTACAGTACTACCTATATTTCCTTATTTATGATAAAATTATTGTCATGACTAGTCAACTCTAATTACAGAGGTTTTTAAAGACCCAAAGAAATGCTTGCTGTGATTCTCCTTGCTGACTGCCCTGTTATTTGTGGTTCTGTAATACTTGGGAGTCACAGGACTTTTTTTCTCAAAGAAAAGCCTTAATGAAGTAAACTTTATAAACAGTCTCATGTAGTATGAAATTAAGCAATAGACTTTTCAAAAAAGCTAGCTCTTTTATAAATAAATCACTTTATAAGGTTCACAGAGTATTTTCTCTTAAGCCTAGACACTGGAAACCACCATGATTTCCCATTAGAGTAAGTGGAGAAATTGAGTTGTTTCTATTACTGGCAGAGAAAACTTTGACATAATGACTTAAATGGTGGTGCAGATAGGTAACTGAGTTTGGGGGATATTGTAAATAAAGAGTCCCCACGACTAGTGCACAGCAGTCAATGAAGTGCCGGCATGTGCTGGTTCACTAGTCATTTGGGGGCTGTGCAGTATGCACATGTGGATGGTGACATTTGCAGTGTATTAGGGAATATTTTTACATAAAATGAGCGTAAGATTTTTTTTAAGATTTATTTTTTCATACAAGAACTGGGGTATAGGCCAGAAGTGTGGGGAGTGGGGGTGAGATGATCACCTGAAATACACCGTTGAGGGGAGCAGCGAGCAAGACATAAGACGTCTGCTGTGCCGTATGAGTCAGCTCCCTGGCAGGCTGGCGATCGGACTTGCTGCAGTGGTTGGCGCTAGCTGGTAGCACTGTCTTTAACCCCTGTGCCGTCAGGGAGGAGCCCTGAGCATAATTTTTTTAAGCAAACATTTTGCTGCTACCTCATCATGAGATAAATAGAGATTTACAATGGATGTTACAGAGACAAAGAGCATGACAGGAGCACTGAATGTGACCAGACTCTGATCTCAAAGAGGGAAAAATAGAATTTGTAAGTAGTAAACACATAAAAACTTGCCAGGAAATCTTTCAAATAGCAAGGAATAAGTGTAGCTACTGTGTAGTTATCTGAAGGGTTATTGGTTGCCTGCACTGATTGCTGTTCAATTACCCAAACCACCTAAGCTAGTGAAAAACTTAACTTTCAGTAGATGTTTAATGGAGATAATACCTATAAATGAAAAGTATCACTTGAGATATCTTCAGAAAGTACTAAACAAATTAGTCTCTGCAAATAATGGCTACAGTGTCGCCATAATCTCGCTGTGATAGCTGGGGGAAAGCCTGCTTCTGACCTGCTGCAGCAAGTTCTTGATCATTTCTGGGAAATCTTATACCAGGAACAATTTTCTTAAAACTTTAAGCTTTATTCTGCCAGGTAAATTCCAGATAAACCTGAGTTTTGTTTGGGTTTTCATCTGTTTTGTTTTTAGATATTCCTTTACTAACAGTGACCAACCCACTCAAGATAATCAGTTTTAAACTGTTCTAATAAATAGAAAAATTCAAATTTGTGCTCAGGATAAAATTGGTAGAAATTCTAGGCATTTTTAGGGTCTAGATTATTTTGAAATCCCCAAGGATAGGGTAGTTTCTTATCTTTTGGTTACGTTTTAGGTCGTTCAAGCCCTCAGTTAGATCCTTTGAGAAAAAGTCCAACCATGGAACAAGCAGTACAGACCGCCTCGGCCCACTTACCTGCTCCGGCACCTGTTGGGAGAAGGAGCCCTGTATCATCCAGGCCTTTGCCATCTACCAGCCAAAAAGCAATAGAGAACCAAGAGCACAGGCGAGGTAGAACTTTAGCTATTTACTATTACTTAATTGACTGATGAGCATTTTCCATTCACCTTATTTTCATTAAAAAGATTTACTTTACATGAATGGTACTAGAAAGTTTAAGCTGAACTTAATAGAATGTTCAATATGCTTTCAGATTTGACTCAAAGTAGTGATGGTGGTGGGGGTATAGACTTTTTGGTTTTGTTTTTGGGTTTTTTCCCTCCATTTTTGACTACAGAAGTTTTTGATTATGTATCCTGAGCTGATTTGTCATTTTGTGTATCTTCTCTTATAGCTGAAGTACACAAAGTTTCCAGACCAGAAAATGAGCAACTCAGAAATGATAGCAAGAGACAAATAGGTAAGTTACTTGAGTGTGAAAGCCATGTCCTTACATCTCAATAGCACATTTTAAATGTTTGATGCACAATTTGTTATCCCCCCGCACCCCAAAGGAAAAGGGATGACAGAAGTTGATTATTAAAAGAGTAGCACAGGGAAATTCCACTGTGGTGACAGAATAGTTCTTTACTTTGCTCGTGCAGGTGGTTGTGTGGATCTCTATATTGCTATATCAATACATGTGACAGGACAACATGAAATATATTGAAATTGTACACAGACAACCCCCCCCAATAACCTCTTACAATCTAAATGGGATCTGTAGTATAATAGTGTGCCAGTGTTCATTTCCTGGTTTTGATAGTACACTAGTTAGAAAAGCTGTTACTTTGGAAGAAAAGCTGGGTGCTAGGAAGAGAACCAGTTTACTGTTTTTTCAATATATTTGTGTGTCTTTTAAAATAAACGTCTTTTATTTTCATTAAATCACTGCCACATTTCTGGACTAACCCATAACTCATAATTGACAGTTGTCCCTTTTTTTTATCCATTTACCTTTTTTTTTTT